TGAGGCTCGCAGTGTGACGACCTTGAAGGAGCCCATAGAGTCCTTCGCTCAGACTCAGACTGCTTGCGCTGAACCACAGAGGAACAGGACCATTTTTAATTTTGGGAACCAAGATTTGTTTGAAGACAAGGTTTTCAAGTGAGACCTGGTATGCCACTGCATTTGAACACTGATGGAGCTTGCTCTCTCCAGGCTTGGCAATTGTGCAACAGCTGCCAAAACACTCCCTCCTGCCAGCTTGGCATACAGCTTAGAGATTGCTTGGGAATGTGTTGAGGGTTGTGGACAGAAGACAGCTTAGGCACCCCAGCTCGAAAAGCAGCAGATTGTGCCCACAACAAGTTGCTCGCAACAAAGCAGTTCTGGCTTTGACTTCGAACGAACAAGTTTTGAGAGATATAGTACTTCAGCACATGGTCCTGGCAATTGAATAACTGTATCTTTCAAACACTTTTTCTGTGGGTATGCGACCATGTTGACACAACATGCGGGCTTTGATGCTGCGATGCCTCTTCTACAGCCAGGTGTTTGTTCTCCTCTGCTATCTGAACCTGCTCCAGAACCTGGCCTTGAGGGCGAGGCTGGCGAGGCAGGCTGGCTTTGTGAAGCGTGTTCTCAGAACAGAGTTCCGACTCGTACACCTAAGGAACCTGAAGCTGATGCAGGCAGTCAAGGCCAGGAACGCTTTTTGGAACCCTGGCTTGTGACAAAAGGCAACTGTTGTGTTGAATCTTGTGGATAGCAAATGCAACTGAATCCGAGCAATCTACCACTTGATGGACTCATGTGCCAAGTGGACTGGCCACTGGGAGCTGCAGGTGGTGAAGGAGAAGATTCTTCCGACTGGTCTTCTGAGGTTTAGGGCTCAGCTTCAGAGGCTCTGCCTTTCTCCTTGAGAAGCTTGAGGCATAATTGCGTTTTGCTTTATCCTTAAGACATAGACTCTCTTGTTGCTTCAGAAGCTTTTGCATTTTTCTTTTGTTGAGCACAGAATAGCTTCCCAGGTGAGCAATGAGAAATTGATTCTGGATGATATTCCGACCATCAAAGTACATGACACAAAGCTAGTAGAACACCTTTCCCACAACAGACAATCTGAAAGCGGGGCGAACAACAAACGAGAATTTCAGATCCCTTTGCATCTTTTGCAAAGTGGGTCCTCAGCAAGAATGCGGCTGAGCCAAAGAAAGCAGAGCACGAGAAGGGCAGAAGAAGGAGGAACACGAGGAGCCACAAGCACAGATTTGATGGCGAGCATGGTGAATGGTTTTACAAGCCTCACAAATTTTAAGTTTAGTGGTGAGAAAGCCGAAAGTGAAGATGAAGTTCACAATGCTTGGGGCGATGAGGATACAGCGGATGATTTCGGAAATCGAGTGTATGACCTACAAGAGGCTCGGGGTATCACACTCGGGCCTGCTCCATCTGCAGCACGTGCACGACGAGCTCAGAGGAAGCAGAAGCAGAAGCCAGGAGAAATGGACCAGGCAAGTACATGTCAATCCACCCTAAAACGCTCTGACAGCGGGGCGAACAACAAACATGAATTTCAGATCCCTTTGCATCTTTTGCAAAGTGGGTCCTCAGCAAGAATGCGGCTGAGCCAAAGAAAGCAGAGCACGAGAAGGGCAGAAGAAGAAGAAGGAGGAACACGAGGGGCCACAAGCACAGATTTGATGGCGAGCATGGTGAATGGTTTTACAAGCCTCACAAATTTTAAGTTTAGTGGTGAGAAAGCCGAAAGTGAAGATGAAGTTCACAATGCTTGGGGCGATGAGGATACAGCGGATGATTTCGGAAATCGAGTGCATGACCTACAAGAAGCTCGGGGTATCACACTCGGGCCTGCTCCATCTGCAGCACGTGCACGACGAGCTCAGAGGAAGCAGAAGCAGAAGCCAGAAGAAGTATGTGCACGTCAATCCTCCTTGGTTGCAAACGATCATTCTAATTCTAATATTGCAGGGCCAGACAGGCAGACTTTCTTTGCTGCTTCTGGTGTTGTTACAAGTTTGCTCAGCAATCTGTCCATGAGCATGAGCATTTCCGGTACCGCTGAGAATGTCAAAGATAATGCAAAATACCCTGAGGCCGAGCAACAAAGTGGCATGGCCATGCCAATGTTGACATCACACTCCCTAGGCCGGGAAAGGTATGCCAGAAGAAAGGGCAAGCTTGATTCCACAGCACTTCCGCAGGGAACGCTTTCTCCATTTGTTTCCGCGGGAGTAGAGTCAGCTTCCTCATCTGCAAGTGTAGCGCTGTCTGATGCAAGTTCATTGGTGCGCTTGGGACGAAGGAGGGCCAACCCGCCGGGGTTTGCAGAGGCTGCTGACTCATTTGTTGTTTATGGAACGAACCATGGATCGTCGTTCTTGGCAGCAGCGACTTCGAGCCTTGTTGCCTTCCAAAGACTCTTTCAGACCGAAGACGAAGAGACTTATAGCATTTGGGGTCCAGATGACACACCTGAGCAGTATCAACAGCGTTTGACTGCATTAGAAAGGGCTCGTGGAGAACCGAATGCTTCCATGCTTCACCATCGGCTGATGCGTCGGCGGAAGAAACGACAACAAGTCAGTCATGGCACTCAGGACATACCTTGTCAGCCCTAGTAGCGTCCTTGCTCCTAGTAGTACGGCCAGGAGCCCCTAGTAGCGTCTTTGCTCCTAGTAGCGATGCCTACAGAGTTGAGGTTGTTTAGTCCGGGTGTGAGTTTAATCTGAGTGTGTTGGGCAAAGTTCAACCAAGCTTCCTAGGCCCTTGTTTCCAATGTTGCATGCCCTGCACTATGAGCAGGACGCCGAGGAAGATCCCTTCTTGCTGCGGTGACATTCAATCACAATCCGTTTCAGGGCGTTATCCTGCCCGCTAGTCGATTGCTAATGTTCTTCAATGATCTGCGAGTATCCTCAGCAAATCATCATGCATGCCTTGGCTTCCATTGTTACTGTTATTTTTGTTAAGTCAACTTCAGTACAGGAAGTTAATCTTTTGCCTGCCCACGGATGAATGTGTTTATACTATCTACAATCTTAGTAGTGTGTGCAAGGCATCGCGAGACTGCTGAGGGTATGCCAGTCTTGAGCCGATTTGGCCACAAGGGTGGCCACCTGTGGATGATCCGTCAGCCTAACACATGTCAGCCAAAAAAAGAAGGCAGAATACTGTCGAGAGCTTCTTCATGCAAGAATCCAGGCTCGGCTATCGTTGAGGCTGGCCATTGGCTCAAGAGGTGGCATGGACGGCATGAGCATGGTCTGACAGTCATGTCGCAGGCTTGCAGTTGGAGTGAGGTTTTAGCACACACTTTGACCGGGTTGGATGCTATTTGATGCTTAGTTTTCTCAGCGCCTTTCCAACGTCATGACCTTTTGTCACTTTGCCCTGCGCAACATAATTCGTGTTTGAGTTGGAGGCTCACCCGTTTTTGAACAGCCTCGTGCAGGCAATGTCCACCAAGAATGCAGCCGCCACCGGCAGCCTCAAGGCAGGGTCAAATGTCTTCCATCGGGTGACCCGCCCTTGCATCCTTCTGATTGGTTTCCAAAGGCCGGCAAAAGCAGCGTGGGTCTTGAAGGATCGAGTGGCGCCTGAGCCTCAGAGCAATCGGCTTCTGCGCTGAAGTGCTTGCTCTCATCGTTCAGGCACCCTTGATGATGCATAGCGAGTCCAAAACCCAACGGGTGACAGGACGGTTTGGATGTGAAGATGTGATGCAATGCACCTAGTAGCTTCTTGCTCCTACGATTAGTAGGGATGCCAGGAGCCACTAGTAGCTTCTTGCTCCTAGTAGTATGGCCAGGAGCCCCTAGTAGCGTCCTTGCTCCTAGTAGCGATGCCCTGTTTGGTGGAACGTCTTTGGGTGTTGACCTATTTGTGAGTGCCAGAGAAGCAATGGTAGTTTTGTGATGCTCAGAGTTGGGTCATTGAAGAAGACTTCACTAGTTGTGCATTTTGAGAAGAGTGTACATGGCATCATATTCACAGTGACAGGATCATCTCCATCTCGGGTCCTCAAGGACGTCACCCCGCTGCAACCTCAAAACCGTCTCCGCTTTGCGTGAAAGCCATGTGGACCCTTTCAATCGCAGTGATCCTTTCCTGCAGGGAGCAGCTGCATCTCTTCCTATTTCCAACCAGTCTTGAACATCCAGAGGCTTACTCAAGGGAAGCATTCGCATTCAGGGACCATTCTCCAAACAAAATCCATCATACGCAGTCTTTCACGATGTTATGAACTGGTCTTGGGGTCGGTATGTCCATTAGAGGGACATGGTATTTCTCATCGCTTCGTGATGACAATCGCCAACACCACAGTTTGACCTTCATTGTCCATGCATCATGATCACCGACCAAATGCAAGTCCTTTCATAGTAAACGTGTAGCATAGCTTGCCAAGTTCACCCGTGAAAAGAACAGTGAAAGAACCCCGATTCTAGAAAGAATCATCGCACTCTCACAAGAGCCAATGGTGCTTGCTAGCGGTTCACATGTACAATGCCTTGGCATCCCCAGCGCATGCGAATTTCCATAGGCTTCCGGGTTCTGCTTTTAGTTTTCTTATCATTACTGTGATTGACTTGCGCGCCGAACGATTAACATTCTGCACACATTTCATTGCCAGTCGACTGGCCGCCTTGAGCTTTTTGCGCGGTACGGACCTGTGGATGAGGCCGAGCATTGAGTCATTGATCCAGTGTGGTGCTCCTCTTGCTCTAAGTTAAGTTTCTCAAATATGTCTAGGACATCGATCATGCAAGCCTGAGCTTTTCTTATTCCCCCGCGCCTTAGCAGCTACTGAAGCTGCTAGCCTCTCATGGCCCACCGTTTTGGAAGTCGTTCTTCTACAACTGTTTGGGACCGCGAATTTCATGTGCAGGCTGGAAAGCTGCGGGGTGGGATTTCTGGATCTCACATTCACACTGTGGGGACCGATGAGCGAAGTTGTGTTTGGCAACACCGATAAGCGATCCACCAAGGACTTGGAGATCAGGCAAATGATTCACCATGAGACGCGTGAGGCTGATCTTTTGGCTTGAATGTGCTGGTCTTTTTAAGTAGGTGTGTGTATTTATTTCATTATTTTGTTCGAAAAACAGGTTTCAAACACTCTGTCAAATTTGTGAATCTACAGTCTTCAGCCTTCGCATATATTGGAGTAGATACAGTGGCATTGCAAACTGCAGATGCTCTTCACTCTCTTCAAGAAACCAAGAGAGACGGTGGAGGCACAATTGATGATGCTTGGATAAAGTGAAATCAACAAGGTCAAGGTGAATCCATTTCTCAAAAGGTCGAAGGAATGCCTGCTTTGTCACCGCACGCTTTGTTCTTGCCTATTCTTGCCCATGCCTACTTTGGCAGGTGATTGTTGATAGCTTGATGCCCGCAGCCATGGTATATAACTACACTTGGCAGGAGGCCTTAGCTGGTTGAAATTGAGCCTTCTGATGAGAATAAATACAATCAATGCAGGTGAAGCATCTCCTCAGACCGTGCTTTCAAGAGATGGGAAGGCAAGACACATGGCTCATAATGGTGCATGCTGATCCTAGTATTGGCAGACTTGAAACCTGTGCTAGTAATGGTGGCAAGCTACACTTCGCGCACTTGCAGAAGATTGTCCTCCAAAATCAGCGAGCGCGCTTACAGGCAGTGGTTTGAACCACCTTCTACCATTCTGAGTTGCTTTGCCCTTGCTTTCTAGGCGCTCTTGAAGGACAAGAATTCCGCATACAAGGAGAGTCAGTCTCTGCAGGTGGCGCAGTTGACAGAGACTTTTGCCAGGAACGTGGACCGAAAAATCCTTTTCAGTCCAAGCCGCAACATGCTCTTCTTGCGCCTATTGCCAAGCAATCCCGACACTCTTTGGAGAACACGAAACTCTATGAGTCATATGAGGTTGTTGTTTTGCACTCACATAAATCTTAATTTCCATTGGACGCCAGGAAGCAGCTGAATTCTCAGGAGGATGCTGCTGCACTCAACTGTTCATGTGCAAATGTGTGGCACGATGTTCTTGAAGTAGTGGTGCGTCAGAACCGTCAGACTGCAGGAGCAACATTGGAGAAGAACAAGGCTGCAAAGATTCTGCACGGTTCTGGCCGAAATGGAGGCTGTTCTGGATGGGCATGTTCAGGGAAGACATTATTCTTGGATTTCTTTCAGAAGACAGTGAGGTCTTCATGCTTTTCAGACCAAAGCATTGCTTGAAAACGCAGATTTTATGCTTGAGTTTTGCAGGATCAAAACTTGCAGCAGCAACTGGTGTCTAATGTTCAACTCTGAGAAATGAGCCAAGAGAGGCTATTGCAGGCCCTGGAAAGGAGAGGCTTTCTCAGCGCCTGTGTTTGAGGTCATCCTTTGCCGAAATCCAGGCGATGTGGAAGACAGGCCTGCCTCAATTCATGCCGTACATGACAGCTCCTGATTTGCAACCCCATGCATTTGAGGTGGGACCGCTACTGTGCACTCCGACGAGTTGGCAAGGCCACCTATGTCAAGGCCACCTGACAAAGCTGGAGCAACCCCTGAGTCTTCTTATGGAGGATTGTACCACGCTGTGCTCCTCGCTCATTTTCAGTGATTGCTTTGTGCACTTCAGCCAAACTTTCTGTCTTTGCATCGCGCTCCTTTGCTGGGCCACCTCTTTCTCAGTCAGGCCCGGAATCAACCACATAGTGGCTTTGCTTCCATGGATGATGGCCTTTCTGACAAGAACCCAGGCACATCAGCACAGCTGAACTTGCCTTCCCTGACAGACTTTTCTTCTTCCGTTTGTTTCAAGGGTACTTTTGATGTAGAAGCAGTCCTCCTTCACAAGACTGGCAGGAGTTTCATCGCTCATATCTACTGGCTACCTGAAGGGGCCAATTCTTTGATTTGAGCACAGCAACAAGACTGTTTCACAACCAGAACGCGAATCGCTCGTGGACTGGCCAAACAATGTCGCCAAATGCCGAAGTACTGTATGCGGCTTTATTTAGAGGACCTACGAAACATTTGGGCTTCAAACAGGTCAATATCATAAATATGAAAATATACTGTGTATATATATATACATATATTTGTGTGTGTGTGTGTCTGCAAGTTGTTTAAGAATTTTTGATGGTGTGCATTGTTGATGTTGAAGCAAATGGAAGTTGTTTATGGCTGGTTCTGAGAGTTCTGAGAAGGATGTGTCGGGTCTGCTTTGGCTCAGCGGACTGTGGCCATGGGGGCGTGGAACAATGTGCCAAGGCAGGTTGGACTAAAGGTAATTTTGAGCTAGGAGCAAGGACGCTACTCCTGGCCTTACTACTAGGAGCAAGGACGCACGAATGAACCTGACTCCCAAAGGCGGTCAAGTCACCACAGAGTCCATTGGGAGAACTGAGGTGAGAGGAATGAGACTTGTGTGATTCTCAGACACGTTTGAGTTCGGTGTCAAGGGTTGAATGAGGTCAGCAATTCCTCTTTTCGGACATGTCCTGGGATGCAACCCTTCATACTCATTCTGAGGGGGACTTGAGCCTTGAATGTTTGCGCACTGGCTTAGGCCGTTTGGCTCTTCCTTGCCTTTTTCTGCATCGATCTGAGACTCTTGATACACCTGCCTCTGCTGTTTTGCAAACATTGCCCTTTGCCTTTCCTTCCTTCTTACGCCCCAGACAATTTTCGATCAGATCACAGCTTTGCCGTGGCTACAGTGCTAAGTTTGTTCAAATTTTGCTTGCAAGCTTTTGGTTGAGGTCACAGCCGAGCGCAAACCCAATACTTTGAAGTTCTGCAGTGCTCCATCATCAGCAGAATCACATATATATCTTTTCTTGAAGCAACGGCACCAGCCTGCACTCACACAAATACAAGACCTAGATTTGTTTGTCAGGTACCGGGGTCCGTCGCAATGCACTAGATGTCAATGTATGGACCTTGCACTGTCGACTGCGAAAGTGTGAAGTGACATGTCTGGGCAAAGACAGCAAACCAGCAAGGTGAGGGTAAGGCAAGAGTAGGCATGTAAATGTAAGTGTAACAGCAAGAGCAGGATGCGTTCATATGAGACTTTGCAGGTGATAGCAGGATCTGTGGAACTCCTTCACTCTGTGAAGCGGCCAAGGCTTGGCTCAAAACACTGAGCTTTGTCGGGAAGTGCGACCCGGCTTCTTTCTCAGAGAGCAAGGATGCCAGGACTGGTCTAAACTCAACGGACGTGTCAATCTTGGCTTCATCAATCGATCCTTCACTTCTACAAATGTCCAGCTATCGGATCCTGAGCAGCTCAGCTACCTGTTTGTTTCCCTGGCTAAAGTGGATCAAAGTGACTGGACACATGCACTGCATTCATTTGAGATACATGGTTTGGATGCTAAAAGACCGTTTTGATTGGATTTGTGGCAACTATGTATCGACACGTGCTTGATTGGGAGCTCCCAAAGACAACATGATGCAAGACATGCCATCATGTTTTGTACATTTCTTGCATCATCAAACTAATCAAACATGATCATACATGATCAATGTCGTGCATTTTCTATCTAAGCTACATAGAGTGCTGGGTAAGCAATGCTGACGTGTCATGCGTGCTTAGATTCATCGCCTTGGTGAGACAGATTTGTGAAGTTCAAGATTTTGTTTGAATCAAGATGAAAGGCGGATATGACATTTTGGTTCCCAGTTGCACTCGAAAGGACGGGAAGATCTGCACAAATTGTGCCTTTGGCAACGGCACAAACCCGACAACCTGTGTTTGTGAGAACCCACCGTTCTCGGTGCCAGCCAAGTGCCCTCCTGCAATGAGCTACACTTTGCTTTTTTCGATCATGATCTATCATAGGTACAATGAAGAATGTGGCATGGGAAAGGAGTGTGCACAGGCGACGAGAATTAGTGATAGCAACTCAAACTCCACCCCAATTGGTAATTAGTTTTGAAGCAAGCTTCTTGCAGGGTGAGGGCATTTGCTATCGCCCATGTGAGGGGCTTAGTTCCGAAGCGGAACAATAAGCCATCAGTCCACAGGCAAGTGCACTGGGCAACCTCTAGGTCTGACTTTCCTGCACATCACAAGCTGTCCAACAGACTACTGCCAGTGGAACACCTTCACGCTCCTATGCGAAGATAGGCGCACCCTGCCACCTCTAGTGTGTGACACTCGAAGACTTTTCATATTTCATTTTGCACTGCAGGTCTCCTGACATTGCCACCGTGTACTGGAGGGACACCAGCACAGGCAGCCCACATGACATGAGTGAAATCGATCACCAAAGTTGGCCGGAACCGCCTCGTCATCGTTGGCGTTCAGACTCGAGGTGCCACCGTTACAGAAAAGGCCACAGAGATTATCCAGCGAACGGAGCCGGCGGCGGCTTACTTTCCCATGAGTGCCTCGGAGAATGAGATGTTCATTCATTGTTGATTGGGCTGACAAATGGGATTTTTTGGCAAGGATTGGTGGGGGCATAACAAGGTGGTTGGCTTCGGCTTGCAATTGTGTAATTGTTTGCTTTTCACGAAAGGTAGCTTCAACTGTATGAGTTCAGTTCTCCAATGAGTGTGGTTGGGCTTTAGATTGACCAATCGCCTGTGATTCGATGGTTAGTCTATAGATTCAACTCCCGCCCCCACGCCCTTAGCATTTGTTTTGTTCAACTTGGGTCCGCAAAGGCATGGCTTTAACAAGCACTGCCTTGGCTCAGAGCCTGCTGACGTAGACCGTAGACCCTATATTCTTGGTGGGCACGTCTGAACGCTCAATAATTTTTAGCTTACAATCAGAGCATGTTGTGGAACAGCATGCAGCAACACACTTATGAATGCAAAGCAAAGCAGCAGGACCTGAATCCAAAGTCAACTTAAATCCAATTGGTTTTCTTTTGTTTTCCTTAACTCTGTGTCACTCTGAGGCTTTGCCAATTTCCGCAAGAGTGCGGATGGCTTCAGAATTCAGGGTGTCTTGATCGAGGCAGGTCGCTGGGATCAAGAGCTCGTCGGGAGTCTTTTCATTTTCCTGTCACTGTGCGATACAGAGGAAAGCAATCTGGGTGAATCCAGTCCTTTTCCACACGCCTGACGAAACGGGCTTGCTGCCTTGTGTCATTGGTGCCGACTCCACACGTCCTGCCAAAACAAGGATTGCTCTGGAGCCTTTTTTTGCGTCGTGCTACTGCACTTGGACAGAACATCACCCAGCCGGAAGCGCTCTTCCTCCAGCTTGACAAGGACATTGATGGCATGCTCAGTGCAGCGGAGTGTGGGCCTTGGAGGGCCAACGCTGACAAAAAGTTTGGAACCCATTTCTATTTGGACATTTTGTTGTTTTGATGTTGTGTATTTTTTTGTGTTATTTATTGTCCTTTTTCTTTGTGACTTGCACCGAACATGAAGAGGGCCGGCTGCATGGCTGGTGTTCTGGCTGCAGGTTTGGTCGGATTGGGGAAGTTTTCCAAGCGCTTAGCAATGCAGTGCCTGTCTCATTCTCATTGAATAGAAGCAGAGGGTGAAAGGTAGGTTTGTACCAGTCATGTCATTTGAAAACGTATCTCTAGTGACAGGTGCATGACCTTCAGGCAGCTATGCCGTGACATAGCTTTTGGAATGTACCGCGGTTCCGCATTTGATCGATTTGTATCACTAAGGTGTCCGAAATGCGGACCGCCCAGGTGGACCACAGCCACCTTTTCCGGTTTCGTTTTTGTGTTTCAACGGACCTTTTTGGACTTTGCCAGTCCCAACCCGTATCCCTACTCATCCACTAGCCAAGCTGTGCTGACAGGTGGCAGCTCGAAGGTTGCAAGAGAGTGTCCCAAAGCAGCAAGTGACACCTGAGGCTCACGAAAGATCAATGACCGGATGATTTGAATTGGGAAGGATAACTTAAAGTGCATATGCAATGACTGCGAGGAACGTTTGCAATGACAGGTTTGCAATGCTCGCAACCCCCGGCAGTACTACTGCAGCTTCGATGCTGACTGCAAGGAAGACTGCAAGGCTGGCGGCATGTCCAGGACAGAACATTCTTCACCTCTTCTTTCATCCGGGCGTGCTTGCAACCCTTGAGAGCCTTTGCTTCTTCGGTAGGAGCAAGAAAAGCTGTCCTTTGATTCACCCACCCAGCTTGTGGCTGTAGGGAGCTACTGACTTTTCACTATCTTTCTCAGAGAGCAAGGGCCTCATGCCTCATGCGAGCCTTTTTGGGGGGATCGAAGAACAAAAGTGGCCAAAGTCACCAACGATACGAAAAAGCGATCAAAAGTGCATCAGGCCTGTGGCTGGAAATCTGCAACTGATCGGGCCTTCTCGATTTGCGTGCAGCCATCCCCTGAGGCCTTGCATACTGATTTTGATGTCTTTAGTGCAAGTGACCAGGATTCACACCACGCCAAGGAGCTTGATTGTCATCAATTAGGGCTTTAGAGCAATGCTGGATCCTTTATTTATTGGATCTTTCAGAGAAATCCGTTTCAAACTGTACGAGGTGAGGTGATGCATGCACGGAGTCGGGGAGTGGTTGAATTGCCAGGTTTGCTATGCAGATGGTGGTCAGGCTGCGGGATTGATGAAAAGCGACTTGATCCCACCAACGAAAGAAAGGCAAGACGCAGGAACGAACACAAGCAAACGCAAGAAAGGGGCAATGCTTTGCTGAAGAAAGGATGAAAGGAAGCAACAACTCAGACTTTATGCAAAGTTGTGGTTTCAGTGCTGTGGTCGGACAGTATATGGTGTAAACACCGCTAGGTTGCTTTATCCCTGCCTTTTTCATCCTCTTTCTAGGTATTGCTTCAGCATCACCCAATCCAAGTTGGCCACTGCATGTTCAGCTTGAAAGTCAGTTTTGACACAATTCCCCAAGATGACTGCCTCGTGCAGGTCAGACTAGCACTAAACACACTTTTGTTCCAATCTAGCAAAAAGCAAAGGACTGACTCTCTGATGCACATGACTCTGGTTGGAGTCACCACCTGTACAACTTGCAGTTCCATTCCAGCTCTTGCACCTTTGCTAGTAGTTCGCATAGCTTTTCTGTCCCAGAGGTGTTCTGCCCTTCAGATGAACAATGTCATCCACCTGGTGATTGCCAAAACTGCGTGGATAGGACACGACTTGCTATATCACAAGATATTTTTGAGGCATGTGAGCGGAAGACAAACCATAAGGCGTGTTGATGTCACGTCAGATTGAGATTCTTCTTGAGGACTGTTGTTGACCACGCGCAGCACATCTGTCTAGCTCTTTGGCGACTCCGCCTAATTATTCATAGTGGGTATGATGTCTCGTCTTTCTTTTGAATCAGAGTCGATCTTGTGTGCCAGGTGGGATCCCGCACCACTGACTGAGTGGACCAACTGGGTCTGCCGCTGGCGGAACAAGGCAACGAGCTTGTCGCCTTTGGAAGCTTTGTATCCAAAGCCTTTGGAATCAAATCATTGAGCCTGAGCCCATCTGCGTCCAAGCTGGTAGCTTCCTTGCCATTTACTACTAGCTACTTAAGCTTCCTACGGCTTACCCTCCCTGGTCTGGAAAGACAAACAAACACATACACAAGCCCCTCTACTTGTTTGCGCTTGAGGTGGGAATGCCTTGCACCTTTGATCAGGAGCCTAGCTAGTCTGGTTTTATGTTTGGTTTTGGAGATTTGTTGTGAATTTTCAAGCGAGGATTGCATTTACGGAATGAGAAGATGCCTTAGCGGAGCCTGTATGCCCTTCCAACCGTACCATACCGCTTTGGTGACTTGTTGGAGGTTCTTTTGCTGTGATGCAGCAGGTACAATGCCAATCAGACCTGCGAAAGCGATTACGATTGCCCACATCTGGGGTTTTATTGTCCATCAGACCCAACTGGTGGGCAAAATCCCTACTGGGTGCTGCTGTCTTGATTGGAAGGATGTCAATGTCATGACGCAACTTCAAATAAGTTCTTTCACATGGGGGAGAACTTGCAGTTTGTAACGTCATGAGTCATGACTGGAAGAGGTCTTGGGAGAAAGTGGTTCTGTGATCACTGCCATACCCCCTTTGCTTCTTGTAGCTGCCAGGTTCAATATTGCCGAGCGCAGCGCAGCGAAGGGATGACTTGTGCGGAAGACCGCGAATGCCGGGACACCCGAACCGAGACCACAAAAGGTGCTTTCCTTTGATATTTGCTTTCCTTTTCCTATATATAGTCCATAAGTTGACTTAATTTGCAAAGATAGGCCTAGGGTCTCAGTCTTCAAGTCTCCACAAGAATCAGGATCGGTAAGATGAGTAGCTTTGGAACGTTGATAAATACGGCAGGCACCACCATGTTTTGTGTTCTTGTGGCCATTAGAACCTACGAACCCGCACAAGGCGAGCCTGGTCTTCGTTGCAACGTGGGTGAGCCGCAGCCACGCTGCCGAAAGCTTTTCTCGCTGAAGATAGGTTGGAGTGGGGTGCGTGGCAAAGACAATTGCGTTTTCAAGGCTTTGTACCACTTTCTCAGTTTCAGATTGTTTTGAGACATCAAGTCCTGCTGTGATCGGTGAAGGCGCAACTGAACATAGGAACATTGTCAGTCATACCGAACAACACACCTAACCCCTTCACACAGCATCGCTGTTCAGTGTGGCACACCACTGTTTTTGACAAAAGTCTCCCAAATAATCTAGTCTATACTGTACTATATACTAGTAGCTGAACTCTCAGGACAAGAATCAGAGTAGGAGGTGATGTGGAAGGCTTCACTGCTTCTTGTGCTGCGGTCTGGGTAGTGCTGAATTTCAGGCATACACCGCAAAAGACTGAACACCTTTAGCAAACAATAAATAAATTATGTCTCCCAGAGTGCGACTCGGCGTGTTCTGTTCCTTGAAACACCGCCAGGTGCTTTGGCAGCTGAAGACGTTTTCTGTGAGTTTGGTTGGCGTGACCGGTGCATCTCCCAGATTCAAGAGCACAAGCATGCAGAGAATGAAAGCTTGCTTGATTGTTCAATTGAAGCATGGTTGCACAGCGTGTTCTGTGCTTTCAGGGATGGCAAATGTGCTCCGCCAGCGCAGTCCAAGCAGGTGCCTCCGGCAATGTACCGGACATCACTCACATCAGAGAGGAAAATCATGTTGACCCCAACAAAAGGCTCGCTTTATAAATATATGTATATATTGGTGTGGAGAGTAGCTCAATTTTTGTTGGACGTCTTTCCCTGTACGTACGTACTCTCTCTCTCTCTCAGTTTTTCCATCTCTTTCTGCTTCAATCGAAAAATATTCACCTCTCCCGGACAGGCAGGCAGAAGCTGCGACACGGACTTGGATTGTGAGACCACGGATGAAACGGGGCGGACTGGAAGCTGCACTTGCAAGGCGGGGTGCCTGGTGCATATCAAAGGCTATTGTGAACACTTGAGCCACGATCAATTAGACTGTTTGCGGGTAGGATGAATCTGACAGTGCCTGGGCAGGCTTGGTGGGACAAAGATGACCCGAAGTATTGCAAGCCAGTGTCTGGCGACTTTGCGAAGCATCAAGAAGCTCTGAGAGATTACCTCTGGTTCAGGCCCCCTTTCTGAAGCCGATTTTGCACTTTGAGTGGATTCCACTGGATGAAAGACAAGACTTGTGGGTTTTTTACATTGCCTCAGGGCTTCGAGATGTGGGACCTTTTGGACAGAGGCGGAGTGCCTCCGCATCTTCGGCAACGAGGCCACCACTGGGCAGCCGGGGGCGTTTGACCAGTAGAGTCAGAGCTCTTCCTCTCGAGGGAGAGGCATGGGCAGTCTCAGGAACCGCTGAACCAGGTCACCAGCACACTTGTGTTCCTAGTGGTCCTAGTGCTACTAGTTGCCTAGCCATGTGCCCAGGCGATGAGGCTCAAATTGGCCGTGGAATGCGAAGAGCAACAGCTCTCCGGTGGCCAAAGCCCTTAGTTTCTGAAGTGGAATGGTTCAATTGGACATATTTGAACATAATTCGAGAGACAATTGCTGCATACTTCATAACATCTATGTGGATCGGCCGCTGTCGGGTTAAGAAGTCCATTTCACGTGGCCAGTGTGGGACGGTCAATTATCGCCCTCTTTAAGTCTGTAACAATAAAACAGCTTCGGAGGGAGGAAATTTGACCGTGTGAGGCGACATAAGCGTCTCAGGATTCCAATGGTGAAAGGACGAATAATGTAGTAACCACGCTAGTAGTAACAGGTGCCTTACTAGTAGTAACAAGAAGCTATTAGAAACAAGTGCCTTACTAGTAGTAACAAGAAGCTATTAGAAGCAAGTGCCTTACTAGTAGTGGTGTATGAAAGCATATGCACCTTTCTTCTGCATCTCAGGTCCATATGCTCCGCCTGAAGAATGTCGCATGAGCCCAAGCCAGACAGAACCAACATCATGTACACTCGGGGGAACGCATCTGGAATCCTGCGCCACTTGTTGCACCCCCAAAGATAACTTCTTGAGTGTGTTTAGCATTTTTAATTACAGGTATTTCATTATTGTTGGCATTGGCAGACGTCTACGGTAATATCTTGCTCTCAAGAATAATATCTTTCCTGCACAAACATGCCAGCCAACATTTTCTGCGAGGCATTGTGGATAGTGAACGTTTTGGAGATAGATGTGCTATGATGAATGAGCTTGGTAGGTGAGAGATTGACTTTCAGAAAAGATCCTTTTGTATCCTTTTGTTACACTTGTACAACCAATGCCCCAATCAGCAAAAACAGCAGAGAATATTGCAGAGTTGGGTTTGCCAAATTACCACTGTGTCACCTGCAGCTCAACGAAAGTTGAGTGGCGGAATGAATTCGAATGCGTGGCAAAAGAAACACTCTTCATGCAGGTGATTGAACTGAGGTTTGTTGCAGTCGCTTGCAGATTCCTTCCACAGCAGCCAGCACAACAGACGTTCTTCGCACGACTTTGGCCCCAACCTACAGTGCTTGCATGATCATATAGATGCTATAGGATCACATTACGTGCTTCTGGCGGATTCTTAGCAAGCATAGCAGGCTTTTGTGCTTCCATTTGTTGTCACTGTTCTTCAGCTCCATCGGACGGCCAGGTCGATGGTGTGATGCCGAGCTGTGGGTGTGAGCCGCAGATTCGAATCGAATTGCTCCTTTTTCCCCGATAACGTGAGCTATTGGGGTTCTTGTTCTTACTTCAAGCAAAAGGAAGAGCTGCACTCGTTCGTTTTCGAGCCTGGGTGCTGGTGCTCGTGCAGGTGCTGGCGCGGGTGTGGGTGCTGGTGCGTGTCCTGGTGCTGGTGCTGGTCCCTGGCATGACATGATGTCATCCCTGGCATGACATGATGTCGTCCCTGGCATGACACCATGTCACCACAAAGCGAAGCGATGCATATCACAAGGCAATACGTGCATCAATGTGTCAGGCACCATAGGGGTGGATATCGTCCCTGCCCTGGCAGATGTCATCCCTGGCATGACATGATTCATCCCTGGCAAGGTGAACAATGCCCTTGGCACCGTTGATTGGCAACGAAGGCTATTAGACATCGGGGTCTACTTCGTCAGGCACTATGAGCTTTTTCCCTATATACCCGCTATCTGGGGTCTATGCCAAGCATCAGTCCATGGCTGAGTACTTCAAGTATAGGTGTGCGTTTTGGGGCCTGGGCTGGTGCCGCTGCAGGGCCGCTGATGTTCCAGCACAAAAACATGTGTGCGTTTTCGAGCTTTGGCGCTGGTGCCGCTGCAGGGTGCCGCTGCTGTGTGCGCTTGGGAGCTTGGGTGCTGGTGCTGCTGCAGGGTGCCGCTGCTCTGTGCGCTTGGAAGCTTGCGTGCTGGTGCCGCTGCAGGGTGCCGCTGCTGTGTGCGCTTGGGGGTGCTGCGCTTGGGAGCGCGCTTGGGGGAGCTTGGGGAGCTTGGCCGCTGCAGGGTGCGCTGTGTGCACTTTGGAGCTTGGGTGCTGGTGCTGCTGCCGGCTTTATGGCTCGGCCCGCTTTGGGGGATGGTGCCGCTGCAGGGTGCCGCTGGACAGTGCTGCTGCATGTTTGTGGCCCTTTGCGCTTTGAAGCCCGGGGCTGGCACCGCTGGAGGGCGCTGCAGAGTGATCCTGCGGAGTGCGGCTGCAGGGTGCTGCCAACAATATTTTTGTGTTATTTGGGGTCTATGTCGCCGTAGTTTTAAGTGGTGGTAGGCCGTGAGGAGGTTACCAGTAAGGAGGTAAGCGACTAAAGCCACTAAGCGATCCAGTGCCTAACTGCTGGAGGCACTTTCCTCCCACTTGAGTTTTGTAGGGACACTTATATAAATCTATTTGTGATTTCGGATGCGGGCATGTGCGGTTTTGTGGAGTTGACACATGGATAGTTCTCTAGAAGAACTTGCCTGGAACGCCCAGAAACAGTTTTGCTATCCACATCACAAGCCATAACATGGCAAGGTTCAAGCAGTCGAAGCGAGAGCTTGGTCACAATGACTTGGGTGTTGGTGGCAACACGTTAGAGCCCTAGGGGCAGTGGAGTCATGCCCTTGAATTCGCTACGAGCCCCGATCGAGGACATGTTTGACGACTCCAGGTCCTGGAGCTGAAGACTCAGCGTTTTTCAATTGAACAACCGCAGGCCTTCAATCGCTAGCTTATTTAGCTGTAGCTGCTCTACCTTTTCATTTCTAACAAATACTCGAGCTTCGTTTTTGCTCCAATTGGCAAATTGTTTCTGCTCTGAGGCCTACAGCCCATACCCTTTCTTGAATCCCATTGTGCACCGCACCACCATCGCTCGTAATTTTCCGGACAGTGCGGCCGGAAACTGGTGAAAAAGTAAGCTTCGTCTAGAGATTTGCAACTAAAAAATGCTGTTTGCAAGATGAGACGCATGTTGTACAGGAGGCAATAGTGTTGATAGTAGCAAGAAAGAAATAGGGTCAAGGCTATTGGTAATGGGTAGTTGCTCTAAGTGCAAAGACCAATAACATACTCCTGCAGGACCGAGCGCCGGGCTTCCGCAATGTGGCCTGGGATGCCCAATGACTGGAATCATGGATGTGCAAAAGTGGACCAACCAACCAACCAACCAACCAACCAACTAACCAACCAACCAACCAACCAGTTTCAAGTATACAGTAGGTTGGAGGCCATCGCTATTATGTTCCTTTTGCTAGTAGGTTGGAGGCCATTGCTATTAGGTTGGAGAGAATATGGTGTGTTCACGCTATGCGTGTGGCTCAGTACTAGTACATGGGAACCCTCGGTTGAACAAGCTGTTCGCATTGCCGAGGGGTCGCTTGTTCTCAAATAGCACCAGCTTATCCCTTGAACTATTTTTCCTGTCCTATGCGATATGTCCATTCTGTATTCTCGGCATTTCACTCGGCTGCACACTGCTTGTAGCTAGCAGCTAGGCCGAAAGCTTGAAAGGCTTGTAGAACCTTTCGGTTTGACAACAAAAGCACCTTGTGATATGAACGAAATTTCGGTTTGGGACAGACTATTTCAAACAGAAGTTCCTATCCAGACTTGCTGTTGAACGTTCAGGTTGACCGGCTGCCCGCACCATGGCGGCCTGAGCCAATGTCTTTGTCCAGGCTTCAAAGGCGCTTGCGCTTGCGGGTGTTGGACATCACTCACCTTCAATTGAACAAGAAAAGAACAAAATTACACCAGCATAGATCCAGATAGCTAGGCAGAATCCCACGACCTGTTGATATGCGACTGGCTGGAACAAGAATGTACGCAGCCTTCACAGCCAGCTTACGGCACCTCCACAGCGCGCGCAATCAGCTGACACCAGCGCGTGCGCTGTGCCAGCTGACAGCAGCGGCGCCAGCGCCCAACCAGCGGTCTTAAACGCGCGCTCAGCCAGCTCACAGCGCCAGCACTCAGGACCACAACACCAGCGCCAGCACCGACACCCTGTCAAAAGCGCGCGCAGCCAGAGAAAAGAACCCCATAGGTCCCTATCTGAGGAATAACAACGTATGATCTTGCGCGTATAAGTTTATACGGTTTTATACGCACAAAAGTATGCGCGCAAGCAGCAAAGCCCGTAAATGTCATTGGCCCAAGGCCAAGCAGTATCCAGCGCCACTATTGACTTTGTAGCATGCTTGAAGCAACGATCTGCAGAACGATAAGGCCGCATGATCTTGCGCGTATCAGAATATGCGCGCAAAAGTATGCGCGCAAACGGCAAAGCCCGTAGGCTTCGCTCGCCCAAGGCCAAGCAGTATCCAGCACGACTATTGTGTGTGTAGCGCTGAAACACGCTGAAACAATGGTCGGTTGAGAGCCTGACGTTGCGCATAGAACATTATACGCGCAAAAGTATGCGCGCAAACAGTACAGCCCTTGACACAGCTGTGGGCCAAAACAGAACCTGAAGAGTGTAAATTAAATACCCCACAGCGCTAATAGACAAAGAACGCTCAAGCGCCAACACCGTATGATGTTGCGTGCATAAGTTCACGCGGCCCGTGACTGCTGGCACTTCATTGTCAGAAGCGGCGCTTGGTCGGCCGTCACTGCTGCAAGCAGCGGAAGTTGTTATCACTTCACTGTCAGAAGCGGGCGCCAGCACCGAGCCAGCACCGGTATACCCCGCACCCAGCACCAGCGCCCGGTACCCACCGCCGGGCACCCTGTCTCCACCACGCGCGCAGCCAGCCCCGCACTGCAGTCTCCACCATTCGTGCTGTTAGCTCACAGTATCGGCGTCGGAACCTGTTGTCTCTACCATGCGCGCTGCCAGCGCCCAGCGCCGGCACCGTGTTTCC